ATTCAATCATAGAGTCACGCTATTGTCAACTCAACAAGCTGAAATGAAATTAATGTTAAAAATAATAATAATGTCGGAAAAATTTGGCAATGTGAAAATATTATGGGAAATATCAAGGTCTAAATTAATACTAATCAAACAGACAAATTATGAAATTAACGTCTTTTGTCTTTTTTCCCCCACACTAAGAATCATGATTCACACATACCGACGCATGCAACATATTTTATTCACATAACCACATACACTAAGAATCTAGATTAACAAGGTGATACATTAAAAATGTTAATTCAAAAAGTCATACAAACTAAGAATCCTGATTCACATTGTAAAATCACACGTTATAATAGCAGAATGGTTAGTAAAGACTGAAAAGGGGAAACATTAGAGATATTAAGACACACGATGATAAAGGATAGGCGACACACAGACATCATCAGACACACACAGATAGGCAAATGTCTCTCCGCCGACACATTTAGACTAGCATTTGAATGTATGGACCTATGAATGCTAACACATTAATACACATATGAGTCTTACAATGAGACACACGACACACAACGAGACACGCATGACAAATTAAGACAGAGACGTGAAGATTTCAAGACACATCGTGTTTCTCTAAGACACACGCAACGCTAATCATGAACATTACAAGACACATAAAGACACATGAATACGAATGAACATAGCAATATGTGTTTGACACACAAAACTTCACGAGACGTGAGGCGCACTAAGACGCACGTGAACATATGTAAACATGCCTTACTCACATAGACGCAAATTGACACGCGGAGACACATACGAAGACATGTATGAAGACATACAAACTTAATCAGGTACAACCGACACTCGAAGTATATGTACCTCCACAAACAAATCACCCATACTAAGACACATATGAACATAACAAACGCTTCTAGACCCAGACATATGACATATATGTACCTCTACAAACACATCATCTATACTAAGACACATAAACATAAACGCTCCTAGACACAAATACATGACATATATGTACCTCCACAAACACATCACCCATACTAAGACACATATGAACATAGCAAATGCCCCTTGACATATGATACGCTTGGATAACCTGACGACACACATACATAAACGAAGAGACACAGACATACACTATAGACACACCTAGTAGAAAACAGCTAATTACAGAGACCAGTATCGAGAACCTGTTCGAAGTTGACAAGGCAACTAGACAAGAAAAAAGTTGACGCAAGGCAACTTTGTAATAGTCAAGAAGTTGACAGTGGCAAGGCAGATTTAGTCTGTGTGTAGTGTGTTATTTTGTCTCCTTGTGTTCGTGAATGTGTTGTCTTAGAGCAGTTCTATGTTCAGTGTGTACCTTGTAATGCAGCATCGGTTTGTTTCAGAGCGGGGTGTGATGTAGTCTTTGGTTTAGCGTGTAGTATTATTTATAATGTGTAGATCGTTCTAATCTTGTTTAAAGTTGTATCTCCCAGTGTTTCAAAATCCTAGTGTGTTATGTCCCTAGTGTGTTATGTCCCTGGTGTGTTATGTTTCTAGTGTGGTATGTTGATAGTGTGTTATGTCCATAGTGTGTTATGTCCCTATTGTGTTATGTCCCTAGTGTGTTATGTACCTAGTGTGTTATGTCCCTAGTGTGTTATGTACCTAGTGTGTTATGTCCCTAGTGTGTTATGTCCCTAGTGTGTTATGTCCCTAGTGTGTTATGTCCCTAGTGTGTTATGTCCCTGGTGTGTTATGTTTCTAGTGTGGTATGTTGATAGTGTGTTATGTACCTAGTGTGTTATGTCCCTATTGTGTTATGTCCCTAGTGTGTTATGTTTCTAGTGTGGTATGTTGATAGTGTGTTATGTACCTAGTGTGTTATGTCCCTATTGTGTTATGTACCTAGTGTGTTATGTCCCTATTGTGTTATGTCCCTAGTGTGTTATGTCCCTAGTGTGTTATGTACCTAGTGTGTTATGTCCCTAGTGTGTTATGTCCCTAGTGTGTTATGTCCCTAGTGTGTTATGTCCCTAGTGTGTTATGTCCCTGGTGTGTTATGTTTCTAGTGTGGTATGTTGATAGTGTGTTATGTACCTAGTGTGTTATGTCCCTATTGTGTTATGTCCCTAGTGTGTTATGTTTCTAGTGTGGTATGTTGATAGTGTGTTATGTACCTAGTGTGTTATGTCCCTATTGTGTTATGTACCTAGTGTGTTATGTCCCTATTGTGTTATGTCCCTAGTGTGTTATGTCCCTAGTGTGTTATGTCCCTAGTGTGTTATGTCCCTAGTGTGTTATGTCCCTGGTGTGTTATGTTTCTAGTGTGGTATGTTGATAGTGTGTTATGTACCTAGTGTGTTATGTCCCTATTGTGTTATGTCCCTAGTGTGTTATGTTTCTAGTGTGGTATGTTGATAGTGTGTTATGTACCTAGTGTGTTATGTCCCTATTGTGTTATGTCCCTAGTGTGTTATGTCCCTAGTGTGTTATGTCCCTAGTGTGTTATGTCCCTAGTGTGTTATGTCCCTGGTGTGTTATGTTTCTAGTGTGGTATGTTGATAGTGTGTTATGTACCTAGTGTGTTATGTACCTAGTGTGTATGTCCCCAGTGTGTTATGTACCTAGTGTGTTATGTCCCTAGTGTGTTATGTACCTAGTGTGTTATGTCCCTAGTGTGTTATGTCCCTAGTGTGTTATGTCCATAGTGTGTTATGTACCTAGTGTGTTATGTCCCTAGTGTGTTATGTCCCTAGTGTGTTATGTACCTAGTGTGTTATGTACCTAGTGTGTTATGTCCCTAGTGTGTTATGTCCCTAGTGTGTTATGTACCTAGTGTGTTATGTCCCTGGTGTGTTATGTTTCTAGTGTGGTATGTTGATAGTGTGTTATGTCCCTAGTGTGTTATGTCCCTAGTGTCTTATGTCCATAGTGTGTTATGTCCCTAGTGCGTTATTTGTCCCTAGTGTGTTATTTGTCCCTAGTGTGTTATGCTCCTAGATTATGTTCCTAGTATATCACGTTTCCTGTTACCTATGTTAGTAGTGTATGTCCCTAGTGTGTAATGTTGTTTATCATTACAATTTTTAAGACCGTATTTCCTCGCACAACCTTTAAAGGTGATAAACTTACAATATAATTTGTTCAATTTCCACATCATCAAAACTTAATCCCCATCTTACATAGAAAAAAAAATTTGATCTTATGAAACCTGATCTATATAATTTTTCCTTCTCTAAATGTAGATATTTTATCGTCATGAAATAAACACGATAGATTTACGTAGAATGGGAAAGGGAGATAACTGACATTTAATGGTTATGTGCCTGCGGCTGCAGTGGTTATAAAAACAGCTCAGTGTATACGTTGGTGGTTTCCCCTTATGGATTAAAAATGTAACATAAAAACCTTGACTTTAAGAGTTCCGAAATAATAGGATTTTACTAATTTTAGGTCTATGAGTTCAGGGACAATCGAATCCTAAATTAATGTTAAAGTTAGTTTTTTAGAGAAGTTATGATTCCCGGCATTTATTCATTTTGTAGATATGAGTACTTTATTATTGCGAAATGTAGGTTATTTTAGTAATACTCTGGCTAGACAGGCTATTTTTTAAAATATTAATCTGGCTAGACCGAGGCAATTTTAGCACTAATATAGCTAAATGGAGACTTATAGCTACGTTGATATGCAGTGGCTACTTAGTTAGCTTTTATTATTTACATTAAAATAGCTCCCTCGTGAACCATTGAGTTACATTTTTAACCATTTACCAGTCGTGATGTTAATAGTTTACCCATTTTGGTTTATTTCCAGCATTTAACAAGGTGTTTCTTTCATTCTATTGACCAAAAGTACAGAAACAAGTAAAGTAACCCGCCACCGACCTCGACGTACTCTCAAAATGTTTTGTCTTTTAAAAACTGATCCCTATCTTAAAAGAACGAAATATATTATAGTTGTATTATATTGTACTTTTAAAAAATGTTTAATTCATCTTAATTTTATTGTAAAATTGTGAACTGGTTTAGAAAAAAAAGAAAATAAACTAGGACATACATTATAAACCGATTTCTTTTTGGTAATGCATGAAGAATGTGCAAAATTACAGTTATAATAAATTGTTTTTTAAAAAGGATTTTAAGTGCAGATTTTTACATTCTTTGATGTAAATGTAAAAGATGTGTTCAATTATGTATAACGTATAGTGTTTGTTAACACGAATGTCAACTTTATAGCCAGCAGATTCATGTAAATATTAACATAATATTACGTCAGGAAATTAGCACGTTTATTGGAAAAGCAATGCAATGTAAATTGTAAAAAAAAATATTTACAAACCAATACTTTAAGTAAACATAGCAACATGGGTGTACAATAATAAATTTAAATGTATGTAGAAAAAAAATGAATTGTTTATTTGTAAAATGATCTGCTCTGATTAATTCGTCTTTAGTTACAGTTTCATCACTGACTCCATGTGACGTCATCACTTCATACTTTCGCGTCACACTTCATGATGTCGTCACTCGTGATCTCCTCACCCTGTGTGTTTTGATCTCACCAACTAGATGAGATAAAACTTTAGCTAATCTCCACGTTTAAACTATCAAACTGTATGAAAAGAAACATGTTATTTCAACGACAGAGTGGCTCAGAATCAGATGGATGGGTATAAGGCTGTCTGCCTTAGTACCAATCTCTAGGAAAGTTTTGAACCATCGAGGGATATTTGATTAAACATCAAGCATTGTTTGGAAAAGAGATGTATGGAGCAACTTAAGCTCCGTGATCTAAAAGGTACTACCAAGTCTAAGCTCTTTGAGGTAACATGTAAAGCCTTAGCTCTTTGAGCTTACGAGTATTAGCTCATCTCGTTGCACACGTGAAATTCAATATTTTTGAGCTAATTAGTACGAGCTAAGAAGCTTTATGAGCTGAAGTGCACAATGTAAACCTGGAGCTAATCATTGTACAAAATACGCTTGAGATCACAATTTTTATACTGCTAAATGACGTTCTCCAGCTCATTGTTATTGCTGTAGGACTCGCCTTTATCCTCGCGAAGGACATAACCGTTCTCCTCAGCCTCGCTGTCGAACTCGCGGCCACAGTGGCAGAAGAGTTGCAGGAACGTCTGTCGGAACTTGGCGCTCATGGAGCAGTACAGCACAAAGTTGATGGCGTTGTTGACAAGCGCCCCGATGTCCATGACGTCACCCAGCGGCATGTAGACCGTGTCGAAGAGCCCCTCGCGGCACGCGCTGAGGATGATCAACACCCCCTGGGGGAGCTCGGTGATGAGAAAAAGAACGATAACTGTGATCAGCATCTTCGTCGTTCTGGAATGTTCGTGGAGTTTGTGGTTGTTGGAGGCGGAGACTTTGAGGAAGTCTTTCCGCTGGCGGAGTTTGGCCCGCATTTGGTAGAGCAGGAGGGATCCGAAGACGGAGATCAAGAAGCAGGGCACGAGCTTGGCTAGGATGGCGTACATCCAAACGTTGGTGAGTACCAGCGGGTTCGTGTCGTTGCTCCCGAGCCGGAAGTGCTCCAAGAAATAAAAAGTCTGGTTCGCGAACGTCACGTTGTTGAACGTCTGGTTCACAGAAATTTGTTTTTCTTTGAGCTCGTTGGTCATGTAGTTGGGGATCATGACGAGGATTGAGATGATATACGTCCCTAAGACAAGGTACCTGGCTTGGATGTTCCGCTTCAGTCGGACCGAACTCGCGCGCGTCGGAGACCGGATGTGGAGGTACCGGACTATGGCCAACACGACGCATAACCAGATGCTGATGGTGTGCGTGACTGCGGTGAGGCTGATGTGGAAGAGCAAGAAGCTCATCCAACCTTTAGAATTTCTATCCGGGGAATGGGAGGAACTCGGGTGCATGCAGTAGAAGTGGATCGCGAAAGGGAGATAACTCAACATGGTGATGATATCAGAAATAGCCAAGCCTGTGAGGATTTGGTTGACGGGCGTGCGCATGTGCTTGCGGGTGAGCACCATGAAGTTAAAGGTGTTGGTGACGATGCCGCCCATGCAGACGCAGAGGGAGACGTAGCCGTGGTACTGGGCGTACCAGTTGGAGAAGGCCGCAAGGTCCTTGTTGACCAGGGAATCGTTGGACATCGTCACCTCGCCCGGCGTCAGGCATCGCAGATTGTTGTCTAGGTACCTGCAAGGGGAAAGCGAAAGTAAAAGTTAGATCGTTAGTTATTTCCCTTTGTCCGTCATGTTTTATTTGTAACGTGTTTTGTCCTGTTATATCCTGTCGTAGTATTTTACCATATTAGAGCTTTTGTCTGTGAGATCTTCTTCTTTTTACTCTTCGTTCTTAATTTTAGTGTTGGAAGGGATCCCCCTCCAACACAAATAAGGATACGAGCCGACCCGCGGCGTATCATATGCCGCTATTTAGTTGTTTTATTTTCTACTTTTCAGTAAATCATAATTTGTGAATTCGACAGTACCACTGCTGTCACTGAAAATATTCGCTTTAAAACACTATCAGTAAGTCGTTAAGGACGATACTACCCCCACCCTCCTTTCCCCCAACCCCTAACCCCCCCCCATGAAAGCAGCCTCCTCTTAGTTACCTCCCCTAAGTAAGTTTAAAATAGTTTCAAACTATATTATCTGCCCCTAATAGCCGTCACTAAACCCGGCTCTTCGACTGTAAACATTTAGCGTGAACCACAGCTCACCAGACTTCCTAGAGAGGAAGAGAGGGGACTGCAAGGCGCGCTTACAGCTTGGTTTCTAACGTCTCCAAGAAGAGAATTATATATATAGATAGATGTGTCAACTGGTTATGCGCCATTGAGACTATTGACTCCGATTTCATCCTGCTTTTCTTTTTGTCCAACCAAGGACAAACTACAATTTTGGAGTTGTCTCTCCTAGAAGAGTGGCTGTTCCCAAGCTATCGAGCCTCATCTGCCCGAGTCTGTGAGATCATTTGTCGTTATATATTTACTTCTGAGTTTTTTTGGCCGGAAATACTTTGTCTCATTAGAACATTTTGTTCGTAACAAAATGTGTCCGTGATATATTTTGTCTGATATATATTGTCATGAAATCATTTGCCACGGAGACATTTTAACACGATACGTTATACATATCGAAGTTATAGACCTGAGTTAAGGTTAATCATAAGGACGGAGTGTTGAGAGTATAGATTTAGAGTTCATTATACTTTAAATATTATTGGTTTTAGTTAAGAATTAAATACTGAGTCAGTGGCGTCGCTAGGTCGGGTGTCACACGGTGCGGTCTGCACCCCCACACCCCGCCCTTTCCACGCGACGCCTCTGTACCGAGCAAAGATACAGGGCTAGTTAAAGAGATTTAGGGAAATATTTAAATAGTCCCAGGGGTGAATGTATTATTTCTATTTAGTTTAGTGGACGGGAGAAATTCAAGGGACAACGAAACACTGTGGCCATAAGTAACACATGCAGCAAATAGTTTAAACGTTTTCACACCTGGAGTAAAATGGATTCAGGCGGAACTAATTCCTCGCCTAGTTATCATTATTTATTTAAATGTCTGAATATGCTAAAAATAACTCTTTAAAACAAGACACGGCAAAAATAAAAAACAACAACACATGAATCAGCTGTTTAACGTTTACACATCAACTAGGAAATGTATGAGCTCATAACGGAAGAGATAAAAATTAATCATCCGCGGCTGTTCACCTGTTCACGACGGCGAGATATATATATAGCGTCGATTATATCTGGGAGGTGTGCCTCAAGACATACAAGATCAGCTGAAAGAGGAAGGTTTGGTGTGGGTGGGGGCTGGGGGGGGGGTCCCTTAATTTCTTTAACACAACACAACAGATGCTGAGCACGTTAAAAATTTCACGCTTAAAATAACAATAAAATAAACATTTTTAATTAGAAAATTAAAAAAAAAGCACTTTTATGTTTCTTAAAATTCTTAACCTAAAAAGCAAAAACCCACTAAAATCAATCAAACTGTTTTAACGATGATATAAAACTGTGCTTTCGTGTCACATTGACAAGATTTATGAGTGGCACATGTCTAGAAGATGAAAGGTAAATAAAACAAAAACTACAGGCTACAGTTTAGGATGTAAATCTATAAAAAGACGAAGCATACTAACACCATTTTTCCCCCGACTTTCGTTTGAGGTATTTCAAGAAAATGATATGTAAATAAACAAAAAAATTGTTGCGCATGCATAATTTCTTGAATAATTAAGAGGAGCTGTGTTGATGGAGACCTACATACATGCTCGGAATGATAATTACTGCACGCAAAAAAAAAGCGTAGCTAATCAAAATGTTTAATTAAAATAAATACACGTTTCTCCCATAGTATGAAAAACATTCTGAATTTTTTAAAAAAAGTTTTGTAACGTTAAAAGTAGGATAACACATTTCCAATGCGAAGAATGAAAGCGAAATTTCTAAAAAAAAAAATGAAGTTGAGTTTGCTTATACATAAATACAAAAGTTTGAGTTGTTGATACGAAAACCACTGTAAGAAAGACATCAATATCTTAAATAGGCTATTTAGTGTATCGGATATCCATATAAGTTCGCACCACCCACCTATTTATCTTTCCCCACCCCACAAACTCACCCTAGCCCCCACCCCCTCCAGTAATAAAACTACAAATATTAAAAACAAACACGTGTTGACTTAACTACGCATGACAAATACAAGCAACGTTTGCTCACACTTTTCCCGAACATTCCTGGTAAATAATTCAATAATTTCTAATAAATCAAAACAAATATCCACCATAAATTCTGGAACTTGCTATTTCCTTTATGGTTTATTTTAGTTCATTCTTGTTCTTTCTATTTCATTTAACGAGTATGTTTACCTTATCTAATAGCGTTCATCTATAAACATTCGTGAACGGGTATTTCCATTTATTTTTACCCCGTCTGCGCATTGTAATAGAAGCCGAATGGGAATTCCCTTTGCTGCTAAAATATTAAATGAAAGGCCGAGACGAGTCTAAAAATAGCTTTACCATCGAATCACACCGGCTGATGTAAACTGCTACCGCAATAAAACATATTTTCCGACGTGATACGCACAAATCAGAAAAATGCAAAGCAACTCGAATAATAATACAATCGGAAGTAAAAATAAAATGCGAATATATGATCGGAGGTAGATTGTGAAAAGAAAACAAAAATATTTATGTCTGAAAATAAATTTTCTAGGAAAAAAAAGTATTTCAGTTTTTAAGCAGGAAAGATTTTTTTTTTTTTTTTGCTTTCCATTAAGAGCTCATATTTAAGAAAATCGATACTTCGAGGGTGGGCTCGGTGAGATGGCAGTTGTTTGAAATATCAAAGTGTAAAGTGTAATGGATTTTTAGCAACGATTATTTTATGTCTAGGGCTTGAGTTATGGGTAGGGTTTAAAAGAGCGTAGAATGTCAGATTTTGCAGCCGTTGATATGTGGTTTAGGATTGAATTATGGTTAGGATTTAAGTTATGGTTTGGGATTGAGTTATAGTTAGGCATTGAATTATTGTTAGAGAGTAATATCAGAGGCGTAGCGAGAGGAGGGGGCGGGGGGTGCGGACCGCACCGGGTTACACCATTTAGGGGGGTGAAACCAAGGCAAAAAATAGCAAAATATATAGAGAACAACTTGAGGGGGGTGCAAATCGAAAGTTTGAGGGGGGGGGTGCAAATCGAAAATTTGAAAGTTTGCCGCACCGGGTGACACCCGACCTCGCTACGCCACTGAGTAAGATATAGTTAGGGATGAATAAATTATGGTTAGGGAGAGAGTTATGGTATTGAGTTATGTTTAGGGATTTAGTAATGGTTAGGGATTGGGAGTTATAATCATGTCTTTAAAAAGATGGGGATGTTTTTTTTTTTGGACAGGGAGTTATAGTTTGATCCAGGGTCGGTTAGACCTAAATATAACTAAGATTGTTAGATTTACTGCTACATTAACTTTATCTTACCTTTTCTAATAGGTCACGGGCTAGATTTAACAAAACGATGTAATATTTTTTAAAAAAGGGGTAGGTGTGTTATAAGTTTATAATTGATCGTTATGGTTAGGTTATGTCTAGTGGTAAGATTAATTTAAGTTTTTTTTTCCTGCTTTTAATCGTTTGAGCATGGGTTAGAGTAGAGCCAAGAAAGTAATATTTACTGTTAAGAACAATGTACTATTTTATTAGATCTTGAGGTACATATAGAGTTGCTTTCATGCATCTATTGGGGGTGCAGTGCCTGCGCCCCACCCCGAAATTCGTACTCCGCCCCTCCCCTTATTTACTTTAACCAGTTTTCACCACCCCTATCATCGAAAATTTAAATGCGCCCACCCCATCCCGAGAAAGTTTGAAAAAAAAAAACAACTGGTTACATAACGATTGAAATGTGGTTACAGAATCAAATCATCAGAAGAAATAATGTCAACAACATTTACACATTTTCAACACCGTGAAAAATTTACATTAATTATGTGAAATTAATTGTCTCTAATGGCGTCAGTAGGGAATACTCTCGATATATTCTCTAAATATATATATAAAAAACATCATGTGTAGTGTTATAAAACATATACAGTTATATAAAAGCGTGTTATTTTGTTTGACTTTTCTAAAGATTGGATGTATATTTGTTGTTTTTTATCATTTTCGGTAACTAAAAAAAAACGGAGTTGTACGTATATTAAAGTAAAAAAAAAATGCGTCTAGATACTCGTATTTTAGTAGAATACTAAAATACACATTTTTTTGTGGTTTTCTTTTTCATAAACATTTTTTTTTTTTTTAAAAGAGAAAATACAACACTCACATCCTCACATTGCTTATCAAAAAAAAAAGATCGAGAAAAAGAAATCTTGTATGCTCGAAGTTAAACTTTCACACATGAAAAAACCAAACGATTTGCTCTAAATCCCCCCTTCCCCCCATCTCCTCCCCTCCGAGTTGCACGCATTTGAACCGAGTGGGTGTCGACGCATTTAACCAACAGTTCTAAAATATCATTTTTCACCGAGTGAATTGTTGGCAGTCAACAAAAGTCTGTTTACTGTTACAAAATTCAAAATTTAAAAATCCATCAATTTTGCTGTCGTTAAGGTATTTGAGAAAAACAAAGACTTGTTTTTTTTCCACAAAGAATTCAATACACAACAATTTTTGTTTTGAG